GCTGGCTTAGTTCCCAACTCAACAAGAATCAAAGCAACATTTGCTCTTATGGCAGTAGCCATAGGGAAAAGGTTCAGGGAAATGTCCTGGGGGAGCAGATACTTGAGCCCTCAGGAGGTGTGGCTACTCAGTGAAGAAATTTACTTCCAAGCCACCTTGGGGAAATTACTTAAACTCATTCATTCCATTCTGCTCATCTGTAAAGTGGGAAAAGATTAAATAAATATATCCTAATAAACACTGTAAAAACTCAGGTATGAGTAAGGTGGCTACTGTGCTAACGTCAGTTTAATCACAATGATCATTGTCATCATCACCACTATTATCATATATAATTATTAACATCTTTCTCAGTACCAGTACCACCACTACCATTAATCATTACCACCAAAATTGTCATCATCACCACTACCACCAACATCATTATCATCACTTTCACCACCACCACTAGCTAGCTATCATCCATCTTTCTACCTACCTGTCCATCTATCATCATCATCAGTATCACTGCTGCCATCATCTCCACTATAACCATCATTAACACCACCCAACTGCTGTTATCATACATCATTATTACCATCCTCTTCATCATCATCATCATCACCACTATCACCATTATGACTGCTCCCATCGTCATCATCATCATCATCAATACCAACATCATTATTATCACAATCGCCACTGATTATGGTCATTACATTATCTTTTCCAAACAATTTTAATACTGTTACACACAAGGATTTATATCAGACCATAAGAACTTCTAGAGATGCAAATCTATGATTTCAAAGAGGAAGTAAACCACAAAGATATCCCAAATGTGCTGCAGTCCCACAGAGAAGAATGGGGTGAAGATTTCCAAGTATGGAGTGACGTTAAGTCACTTTCTTCTAAAGAAGTGTCAAAGGGAGAAGAAATAGGTAGAGCAGGCAAGGTGGTATTACTATAGGCCTAAGACAACAACCAGGCAGAGGAAAAACATGCAGATTCAGACCTGGAAGATAACTTCTGGAAACTCCATAATTCTACACAAAGTCCCTTTAAAGGTATGAGAATAGAACTGATGGCCCCAGGAAGTTGTTAAAATACCTACCTGGATACAGAAGACTCCTGGACTCAACATACCCTAACATATGTTCTAAGTTGGTGGGAATCCCCTATAAGCCTCCCTCACTGATGTGCTTTGGAATAGATAGCACTAGATGGATAAATCCCAGGTAAACTGGTCTTGGGTTTCTTCTACCCACAAAAGCTCAGAAGAAGAAATAAATGCTCCCCTGTTCCTAATCTGCAAAATGTGCTTTAGATCTTCATCCGCACTACTGGGTATGCAGGATTGATAGCTCTCACAGAATTGGTTTCCGTTTTATGTGCCCAGCATTCTAGACAGTAAACATCTGATATCCTACTAAATCATCATGGTAGCTGCGGAGAAAAGAAACTCGGCAGCTCACTTCATAAGTGAGAAAATTCGACTCAGGGAGCTCAACTGGCATATCCAGAGCCCCAGAAATGTGGGCGGCGGAAGCAAGATCCAGGGTCCCCTCGGGGGAGTCCTAGACAGTCCAACATGACAGCCACCCGTGGTGGTAAGCGCTGTCACATTATAGGATGTAGAGTCAGTCTCCTAGAAGGCAGGATTCTGAGCATGTCTGTGAGGAAGAGCCTAGATTAGCCTCACTAACATGGCAAGAGTCACCATAAATGTTCCCAGTACCATTCCAGGAGAAAGGAGAAAGTGAGCTGAGCTTCATACTCTGGCCTCCATGAAGTCCACCACAATGGACTACATTCTCAAACTGTGAGCCCAGTAAAACGATCTTCCCTTAAGTAGCTTTTTAAAAGGTGTGTGTGTGTGTGTGTGTGTGTGTGTGTGTGTGTGTGTGTGTGTGTACACGTAAATGCAGATGCCCACTGAGGCCAGTAGAGGAGATCTGATCTGGCAATGGAGTTACAGGTGGCTGTGAGCTACCCACCCCAGGTGCTGGGAGTTGAAGTCAGGTTGTCTGTAACAGCAGTATGTAGTTTTCACTGGAGCTAGGGCTCCAGCCCTTGGAGTAGTTTTTTCTAGGTATTTTGTCATGGCAACAAGAAAGGTAATGGATGGACCGCAAACACAGGTGCCTGCTTATGCACAATTTTAAATTAACTTCAATTTGATAAAGTTGAAATTTTAATTTCAAGTTGCACTGACCCTATTTAAAATGTTCAATGGTCACAGGAGCTAGTGGTCACCTAGACAGTAGAGACGCGCACCATTTCTGGGCACAGGAAAATCAGTGACACATCCTTACTCAGACTATCAGCACCCATTCCTCCCCCACGTCTGGTGTCTTCAGAAGACGATGTCTCATTTAGTTGTAGCTTTGTAGCATTGTATTTAAGACACTTCTGAGACCTGCAAACCTACCTTCGGAAGGTTGCCACCAGAAATAACCCATTTGGAAGGCAATTAAGCAATACGAATCATGAAAGGAGTGATTAATCAAAGCACAAGGCAGAGAAAGAAGCCATGAAATGTGACAACTGCTGTAAATCCGGAACCTGGGCTAAGAACGGAACAGGAACGCCCAGGTGAGCACCTATTCCCAGCTCCACATGACCCTCCTGACTTCAGCATCACAGAATTCTGTTCCATATTGCTGCACAGCTTTCATCCACAGCTCTGGAGCTTGCTTACACACTTTCCTAAGTGTCAGGTTTTTGACATGGGTCTGTGACACACACCTCCACGCCAGCACTCTTTACTGCAGAATATTGTAGAGGATCTGTCGGGGGCTCTGATCTGATACTCTAATCATGAGAATTAGGTTCAAGTCTGTCTCGGCATCTCTCTGAAATCTGGCATGAATCTTTTAGTTGCTCTGGATCTTGCTTCTAGACCATGTGGAAAATGAGACCTTAGAGTGTGTTTGTGATGAGAAAATGAAATTATATACACAAAAATCCCCCTTGAGCCTTAAGGTACTTTTTCCAAATGTCATTGCTTCAGTTGAACTTCACGACATCTGTTATGGCACCAGTGAGTGCCAGATGATTAGCTCAGAGGAAAGGGAGATTCACTCCACCCATCTGAGAGCCAATTTCCCATGTGGTGACAGGTGGGTAGAATGGTTCATGTGAGTGGGAACAGTTATCAGGGGTTAGAGAGAGAATGGAGTTTGTAAACCCCATACCTCTCCTTTTCCTACCCCGACTATATTCCCATCCCTGGACAAACTGTGAATCTCTATCCTTGTCACTGCCTACAGGCAGAGTAAACTTTCCTTATTCAAGCCAATATTAAAGGGTCAAGAGACCATTCACTGAACATTCCTTATATGCTCGATGATTGACGTCTATGCCCACTCCCCAGGGCACACTAGTGACAACAGCCAGAAGAGGAAATGAAGCTGATGTTTTCCTAACTCGGAGAGAGACTCACAGCTTACTGTTTCTACAAAGCAGCAGCATTTTGTAGTTTCTAATGGCTTATAGGAGGTTGAGGAGAAAGGATGCCTCAGATGCCTGTAGAAGGCAGAGTTCTGCTGGGGTCCCGAGTGCTGGTCTATGTGCTGTTTGGCTGTAAGCCACTGGTCCCTCCACCTGGATGTGGGGGAGTCATTTTCAGAACAGAGCCTCCTGGAGGGAAGACAGAAAGGAGAACTCTGGAGGATCCCCCAAAAGCAAAGAGAATTTTCCTTCATATCCTGGCTTTGCATTTTATTCCAACAGTTCTGTACATTCACCTTTTCAATTACATTTAGCTGAATTTTTCAATGAAAGAACTTGTGGAGGAACTTAAATTAAATGAAGAATTAGTCTCAAGTATTTTGGGGCAGATGCTTCCTTGAGTAGAAAAGAAACTAAAGCCCCACGCTGATGTTTTTGGAAGGTCGGGCTAATTTGTTTTTCTGTGTTCATTGAAGTGGCGCCCCTTCCTCCTCTTCTTCCCACTCTTCTCTCTCTCCCGACAAATTTCCATCTTAGGTACAGGACAACCCTCAGTGAGGGGCAAACAGATGGTATTTATGATGAGCATTATTGGCCCAGTCCTGATCTCTGCTGTGTCCACATTCTCTGGCCAGTCAGAGTGCCCTTCTGTGCTGTGATCATTTTGATCCTCTAAACAAGGTATCCTTTTGTCTACTTACCTGCCCCCATCTCTCTCCTTTTCCTCTCCTTCCTTCCACCCTCCTGCCCTCTCCTTTTTGACGAGATGTCACTATGCAACCTAAGCTGACCTTGAATTCATGATGCTCCTGCCCTTTACCTCCCGAGTGGCGGATTGCTGCTTTTCAGTATAGCCTTACTCTGGTAAGGACATTTTTGTTTTCTTCAATCAACTGTGGCATCCTCTGCCTTGGCAGTGATACCCAGTGACTGCTGGTTAATTTCATAACACTTATTTAACGTAACATAAAGTTCATGACTGAACTTTTTTAATTGCCATCTTTATTTTCACCACCACTGGAATGGAGGCTGCTTGAGGTCAAGGTCATTGTTTCTGTCCTCGGCCCCAGGGAGGGATTCTAAATAAATATTTGTCAGTGAAGAAAGCACAGAGAAGGCACAGAAGAGTGGACCAAGTCCATGTGTGTGCCACATGTGGTCTGACCATGTTGATCCCAACTGAAGATGAGAAATAAAAGCAGGATCCAGTGTCCCTAAGAAAACAGATGAAAGAAGGGAGGACACAATATGAAAAGGGAAGCTGCCAAACACAAGCATTAAACAAATTAATTAAACAAATATTTAATGTGTAATTTGTGAAAATAAAACCCATCATTTTTGACAGTTGCTCAAGATATATTTTACATATGCATTTGCTCATTTGATCCTTCGTTCCTGGGCTAGGTGTCATTGACCTTTCATAAAACTAGATATTGATAAGAACAGCAATCTGTACAGAGGTTAGGGAAATTGTTCCAAGCCACAAGTCTGGTCTGGTGGCCTAGATTCTACCCGCTATCCGTTAGTATCCTCTTTAGTATGAAAAACAGCCATTTATAAATATCTCGATGCGATCACATTGCCAAGGGCTTCATTTCTGTCTTACTGCTGTGATAAAGTACCTGGATAAAAGCAACTTATGGGAGGAAAGGTTTATTTTGGCCCACAGTTCGAAACGGATACAGTCCACCGTGGTGGAGAAGATTCGGCACCAGGCAGGGAAGGCATGACGGAAGCGGGAGCCTGGCTGACCACACTGGCCCTGTATTCAGGAAGCGGAAGCTGAGTGTGAACAGGAAGTAAGTCTGGGCTATAAAGCCTCAAGACCCGCCCCCAGTGACCCAGTTCGCCAAGGTTTAGCAGCCTTCCCAAAAAGCGCCACCAGCTGGGGACCAAGTGTTCAAACACATAGGGGCGGGGCATTTCACATTCCTGCCACAGCAGTATCTAAACATAAAGCGACTGAACCCACAGAGAAACAGAAAATGAACATTTTCTGAAGAATGACTGGCCCCTTCCCAATCTACTCTTCCTCTCTTTTCACTTTTCCAGCTTTAACGTGCGTTTGACCACCCGTGGTTTTCCTTTTACCACCTCCTTAAAGCTCTCTTGATGAGTCTAGTTTTCCCTTTTTTTCTTTAAAGCCGCTGGTTATGGGATTTGCCGGATGCTGCATCTGAGCTCTAAGGCTCTTCTCCGTTCTGTTCTTTTTCTCCTGAGCACCCACATCAGTTCTCAGCACTGAGAAAAGGCGCCGTGGTAAGACTGAATGACAGATGTGGTCCTCCAGCTGCTGCCAGAAACCAGAGTGACTAAGGGGAAAAGAAGCAGAACCTTAGAAGGCCCTACGAAGGCGCACTGTGAACAATTCCTAGCTGTATGATGTGATTGCAAAAGGGGGCGGGATTGTGTGGGAACTGGAGACAGTATGGTCGTGGTGAGCAAGTGTGGCCTGAAGCCAAGAATTGCCAAGAGGCTAAGAGTTAAGTTCATGGAGGTTGCTGTCTCATCGGACCCATGTGGCCAGGATGCAACACAGGTAAGTCTTCACTTCGATTCTTCACTTGTCAAACTTGTCCCAGCAGACTGTACAAAACAATGGCTTTCGTGTGACATTTCCGTATGTGCCTGTAATGCACTCTGATTAGATGCACACCCCACCCCCACTCCCCTGTCTTCTTCTGTCCCCCTCTCTCCTCTGCCTGGTACCCTGCCTCTCCTCAGACAGTTCACTTTCTGGATAGCATCATTGACTGTCTACATTACTTAATCTTAAACTTGACAAGATTTATAGCTTCTAACTCTTAATTTAGCACTGGATTTATTAAAGCCTCATAGAAAGCAAATATTTATGACATACATCTTAAATTTATTGGTTTGATACTTTTTAAAATCTTGAATCAGTTTATCTCAGGCCATTTTAGACTGCTTCATGTGATTTACAGCAATGATTTTTGTACTCCAAATGATTTTTTAAGAATAATTATTAGTGTATATTCATTGTGCAAGGTGATGAGCTTTGGGGGTCTTCTTCATCAGTGCATGCTATCTGCTCTAACCCTGTGGAGTTCCTGTCTTCTACGCTCTCCTTCCCCACCATCCCACCTCTACTTTCCTTCCCAAATAGCCCCCCTCCTACTCTCATGTCACATTTATTTTAGGTGCTAAATGAATTTTAAGCAGTTCTACCAAAGTCAAGTCCATTTTTGCCTTGAGAAAATAAAAGCAACGAGCCTTTCAGAAGAAGGTGCTCACGTTGTTTCAGATCTCAGACTGTAGCTGGGGGAAGCCAGGCCACTCCAACTCCAGCCCTAAGAAAGGCAATTTGTCTGATTAGCTGCCCCCCTGACCCAAGCTAGAGGCCTAGGTGATCACCCACACACTTGAAAGGGAAGGTCGTGAGTTTATTTGCTTCTCTAAGCTGTAGAAACAAAATGTCCTAAACCATGGTTGAAGACAACAGATGGTTGTTGTCATGGCTCTCAAGGCTGTATGTCCAAATGCAGCATGCTGGCAAGGCCCTGATCCCTCCGGAGGCTCCAGGGGAGAATCTTCCCTGGCGCTTTCCTGGATTCTCATGCAGAAATCTGAAGAGCCCCGGCCTGCATCTGCATTGTTCCAATTTCTGCCTCCATTGTCACACAGGTCCCCCAAACCCTGCCTACAACTCACTATGCAAATCAGGCTATGCCTTGACTTCCAGGGTCTATCTTCCTGCCCCTGCCTCTTCAGTGCTGAGGTCACAGGAGTATGACAGCACATGTGGTTTTCTCTCTTTATTAGGATTGAGAGCCCACCCACTCAAGTCTCACCTCATCATAATTATCACTACAAACTTTCTTCTTCCAAATACTTTCCTATTCATAGCGAGTTGGGATAGAACTTGAACATATCTTTGGGGATAAAGCAATTGAATGAACAATAACAGGCAACCAGTCTTCCCAGGCATCTTTGCTCTTGGTGTGATCTCTGCTAATTAAGGACTTCACCAACACTTGGGGATGGCTCAGTTGGCAAAGTGCTTGCAAAAAGCAAGAATGGGAACTTGAGTCCAATCTCCATAAAACCCAGGCCCAGCAATGTTCATCCATAAGCCTAGTGCTGGAGGGGAAGAGACTAGAACATCCTGGGGATTGGATGGCCAGTCAGTTTAATCAAATTGGTTAGTTCTAGATTCAGTGAGAGAGGCTCTTTCAAAAAATAAAGTGGAGAGGGAGAAAGACACTTGACATTGACTGCTGGCCTAGACACACACACACACACACACACACACACACACACACACACACACACACACACATGCACTAAAAATAAAAAACAAACAAATAAAAACAACCAACTAAGGAAACACAACTCCTATTTGAGCATGCAGACTCCTAGGAACCATGGATGCAGGAGTGATAGCATGGTGGATCGGTCAAAGATTGTTCTCATCCAAAGCACGTGACTGGACTGCAGGCTGTCTCTGCTCTTAATTGAATCTTTTAACACCTCTTTGAAATGGGTGACAACAGCTCTTCTCTTCACCATCTGGCAGGCCTGGAAAGAACATCAGTTACCCACTATCTCACAAAGGGGTAAGACAAGACATGGAGATGTTAATGGGACTCAGGACCTCCTTAGACCACCAGAAGCTGGTGGCAGGCTGAGCTGGGATGACCTACTTTCTGTCTTGCTGTGATAATCAACTTTTTGCCAGAGTATGAGTCATAGGCAGTAGTGTCCTTTCATATAAAGTAAGAAAACCAGTATGGGGTTGGGTTTTCCTTGTTTTGAGTGCCTTTTATATTCAGATGCACCCTAAGCTTGACCATTCCTGCTGCTTCCTCCTGGCTCTCTGTGCATGACAATATGTAATTACCTTGACCTCTTTGCATGTTGGACTTCTTCAGAAGATGGAGATCTCCATAGGAACAGCAAGCTTCCCTAAAACCGTCTTTGATTCCATGACACAGGGAGTGCCCTAGTTATACCTAGGAACTGCCTGGGGAAATTTTAAAAATGCTGATGCTGGGTATGGCCCTGTGTGGCTACATCCCCAGTGTCAGAAAGGCAAAGACAGGCAGATCCAGGGGGCTGACAAGACAGCTGAATCAGCGAGATCCAAGCTCAGTGAGAGAGACCCTATCTCAAAAATGAAGACAGAGTGTGAGAGCCGGGGAGCGGCTCCGTGGGTAAAGGTATAACTGTTCTTCAAAAGGACGTGAGTTCAGGGGCCAACACAGTGTCTGTAACTCTAGCTCCAGGGAAATCTGACACCTTTGGCCTTAGTAGGCACCTTCAGACTCCGTGTGTACAAACCCACACACAGACATCATCATACACATAATTAAAAATAAAATAAATCCTTTAGAAAATGGAGTGATTGAAGAACACAGCTGATGTTAACCTCTGGCCCTCACATACTCACACACAAGGGAGCACATGTATGCATAGACCCCCCCCCACACACACACACACAACTGGTGCTTGACTTTTATCCCCAAAGATCAGGGTTTAGTAGGCCTGGTGTATAACTGAGGTTCACATTTTAAAAGCACACAGGTAATTTTGATATGGATACTGCCAAGCATGAGAACCACTGCGGGGGGGGG